TGTGAGACGACATGAAGTCTGGGCTTTGCTTTAAAATTTTCTGGAAAGAAAGGAAGACAGGCGGAGCGAATGGGCCAGAGCCCTCATAACTGCTGAATCTGGCTGAGAATGGTGTGAGTGTCATTGTACCATTTCCTCTGCTTTTGAGAATGTGTGACAAATTTTGTTATAAAAATAAACCCAATGAGGTAGTGCTTTACTCACATGGCACAAATTATTGAACATATTACATGCTGGTGGGCTGGGCAGCTGTGGCCATCATCCGTGGCCCTCCATGACTGCGTGGAGCAGGACTGTCTCCCACTCCCCCCTGTGCTCCATCAGATGGTGTCTGGGCATCTGCCCAGGGGCTTCATCCTGGAAAGGGCTGGCGGAGCATGGCTGGCCCTCGATCCTTTCTGGGGCCGGTGGTGGGGTGGGCGGTGGGCTGTCCTTGAGCCAGCAGACCTCGAGGGAGTAGGGGCAAGGGCGTAGCCCAGGGCATGCCCACTGACCCTCAGCAGTGCAGTTGGCCTGCACAGGGCAGACTGGCGTGTGAGTGCCTTGGGCCCTGGCATGGGTCTGTACACATGGTGGCAAACTGCTGGCGTTATGGGAATCCTGTAGATGAAGCAAATACCAGCCTTTGTGTGAGAAGGGCTGACATTTAGCTCGAATGCAGCGGAATGCCAAATTGCTGAGAACAGACTTAAGCCAAGCACGGAAACAATGGAGATGGACAGCACATCCCCGGGATAGTCTTTGAGGCCTGTTTCCTGCCGCTGTTGGGCTTTGCAGGGATCGGACAAAAAGATCCTGACAGGCCCTGATTTGTTTGGATAGTAGAGGTCAGGGATTTTGGGTCATGCACCCCAAACACACATACCACACATAGAGACACATACACAGAGACACGTACAGACATAGAGATACAAACAGACGCACAGAGACACACACACACACACAGACAGACATACAGGCACAGAGCCGCACACACAGACACACAGAGACTCATACATAGAGCAGTACACAGAAACACAGAGCTGTACACACACACAGACACATACAGACACAGAGCCGCACACACAGAGACACATGTAGGTACCCATCCTCCTTGCTGAGAGCACCGTCATGGAGTGATTGCGGTTTCCTGATTTGTGCTTTAGGACAAACAGTTAATCACAAAGAAGAATATATTTCAGCCTTAAAGATTTTCTGACTCAGTGAAATATTTAATGCACAAACTAACATTTGTGCTGAAATGTTACACCTCACAGTTTGTGCAGTCTCATAGTTTGAAATTTTAAACTCACAATAAAAGCACCAAGAAGTCCCACAGAAAAACAACCGAAACGCTCCAGTTCTGAGTCTTCCTGTGGGTGGCCGCTGTTGATGAGAAACTGCCATTTAAGTGCGAACCCTGCCTAGCTTCAGGGACGCGGTAAGCCAGGTCCTGGACCTGGCAGGGCCCAGCCTTGGAGGCCGGCCCCAGTGTGCAGAGCAGGTCTGTGGCATCCTGCTGGTGGGGACCCTGGCTGCTCAAGGGAGGACTCCTGCCTAGCAACTGTCTGTGAGCAGAAAAGAAAGAGTGCTGAGCTGAAGATCACAGAAACAGCCGTTCCTCGGTGGAGTCTGACTTTGAGAACTTGCCAACTGTCTTAGCTGGATGTCTTGCCGCACACAGTGCTGCAGACGGTGGTTAGGGGACATCACTGCGCTGTCTCAGTTCCGGGGGCTGGCCGGCCGAGATCCAGTGGTGGGCAGGGCTGCTTCCTCCTGAGGCCCCTCTTCTGGGCACGTGGGCAGCTGCCTCTGCCCTGGGTCCCCACGCAGCCTGACCTCTGTGTGTGAGGACCCCTGGTGTCTCCTCCTCTTATGGGGACACAGGTTCTATCGGATCAGGGCCACCCTAACAGCCTGAACATCACTCAATCGCTTCCTAAAGGGCCCATCTCCCAGCACAGACCCCCTCTGAGGGGCTGGGGGTGAGGATTCCAACATATGAATCTGGGGGGATGCAGACTCTCCAACATTTATCTGTAACCCCAAATCAACACTCACAGCCTTTCAGAGTCACTGGCTGACCCGGGTGGCTGAGGTGAAGCACTGGGGTCGCCCTATGGGCACGTCCCCGGCTGCTGTGGAACCGGGGCATGCTCTGCCCTCCGACTGCACATCTCAGATGGTAAACAAGGGTCCCCGGGGCCCACTTAGTGTTTGTTCACATCTTTTTTTTGGTTGGTGGCCATTTCACCATTTAAAATGGCCTCCGTGTCACACTACAGCGCCGCTGCATGGCCCAAGCATTGAGGGCTGCCGTGGGCACTGGGAGAAAACACAGGTGTACCACCGCCCACTCGGCACAAGTCACAGCTGCTGGCCATGGGCTCACGGCTAGTAGACGCTCCATCAGGTATCCTTGCACAGCAGCACACACCAAGGAAGGTGAGCTATGGCTCGCTGACAGCAGTGGGACCAGAGGCTCACAGGGGCCTGGCCTGTGTTTCCCCAGGAGCGGGGGCTCGGTGTCCACACACTGTATCAGGCTCCTGAGAACTGGGAGTCGACTCTATTGCTTATGTGGTGATTGCTTGGAATTTAGACCCACACAGGAGAGGCATATTTTGCGCTGGCATTACTTAGAATTGGCGCATGGGATCATGAAAAGCACACAGACTATTAGGAGGTTTCATTACTGTTTTTAAATCTCTGTAGACACCACAGCCCACCAGTGCCCATCCAATAGCTCCTACCACCAATGTGGCTTCGAAGTAACGTCTTCAATGTGGACCCTCCTCAGATTTTCACGATGCTTGTGTGTAATTTCTGTTGGCAGGAAGAAGTAACAGAGGTAATTCCTTCTGGAAGGTGATGCACTCTCACCTAGTAGCTGTGAGACTTGGGGACCTCCTGTCGGACTCCATGCCTCAGTTTCCCTGATTGTGAAATGGGCCCGCCAGGGCTGCCGTGGGGCATCACAGACCCGTGCAAGCAGAGGCCTGGCCCAGTCCCTGCACAGAGTGCCCCAACCTGGTAACCGGAGGTAAGTCTTCACCGTCCTGGAGCAGGGGTGGGGGCAGCCAAGGATCACAGCGCCCTGCTGGTCAGAGCCTCAGGGCCTGGGCCTTGGCAGCGCTAAGCCCAGCCCCTGATTCTGCTGACTGGGCAGCCTCTCCCATGAGCTCACGCTTCCCAGGCAAATCCCCCTAATGCCTCCATTCTGTCCCTGCGTATATAGGGAGGGCTTGCCTCCCAGCTCCCCACTGTGCTGCCCGGAGGCCCCTGCCCGGACTCTCCGCCAGTACCTGGTCCCTGCAGTGCCGACGCCAGACATGGACATCGCCATCCAGCACCCCTGGTTCAAACGCGCCCTGGGCCCCTTCTACCCCAGCCGGCTGTTCGACCAGTTTTTTGGCGAGGGCCTCTTCGAGTACGACCTGCTGCCCTTCCTGTCCTCCACCATCAGCCCCTACTACCGCCAGTCTCTCTTCCGCACTGTACTGGATTCTGGCATCTCAGAGGTGAGCCTGCCCGTCCTGCTGGCTGGAGAGTGGCGTGGGGTCTGGGTGGTGCCCAGGGGAGCAGGGGCCTCTGAGGGCAGCCTGGTGCAGAGGCATGCTCCTGTCCTGTTCGGCAGTGTGGACGGCGATGCCATGGGGCCACTCTCCCACCTTGCCTGCCTCATCCCTCCTCCACACCCAGAGGCCAGGAGGGCTGTTCCCCAGCAGAGCCTCCTGGGTGTCTGGGAGGGGCTGGAGAAGGGGTCTGAGCCACCCGCTCTCCTCCCGTAGCTCAGGGCCCATCGATGGTCTGTAGCACCAACCGTATGCTGGAAGCCCCAGGGCAGCCCCGCCCAGGCCAGCATGATGGCAGATGCCAGCCCTGAGTTCACGGCCTCTGTACTTTCCCTTCTGCGGGGAGCCTGGCTGGACTGGACTGTGCGGCCCGAGGCCCGAGGGCGGCCTCCTCTCTGATGCCCTCCTGCCCCCAGTGGAACTGCAGAGGGTGGGCTCTTTCCATGCCTGCCTGTACCCCAGGCCAGGCCGAGGGGAGTGTCCAGACCACCAGGCTTCCCTCCCCGGCCACGAGGCTGACCCCAGGCCCAGGATTCTGGAGGTGCAAGGCCGCACCCACTGCCCAGGAAGCAGAGGCCTGCCAGAGCTGTGGAGAGTCCGGTCAGCCCCAGGGGCCAACAGGGCCTGAAGGGGCACTTGGAGCTGGAGGAGAGGAGAGCAGAGGAGGGAGCTTCAGGCGCAGTGGGCCAGCGGGCACATCACACTGCTGCGACAAGACGCAGCTTGGCTGTTTGTGGAGAGATGAGGGAAGCCAAGGGCAGTGACCTCATGCCAAGTGCTGGGTCCAACCAGTCAGACCAACCCCTAACCAGCCAGCTCACCAACCCCTAACCAGCCAGCCCACCAACCACTAACCAGCCAACTAACTAACTTCTAACCAGCCAGCTCACCAACTCCTTACCAGCCAGTCAACCAACCCCTAACTGACCAGCCTACCAACCTCTAACCAGACAACCAATCCCTAACCAGCCAGCTAACCAGCCCCTAACTAACCAGCCTACCAACCTCTAACCAGCCAACCAACCACTAACCAGCCAGCTAACCAGCCCCTAACCAGCCAGCCAACCTATAACCAACCTCCTAATTGCTAACCAGGCAGCCAGGCAGGTGCTCATCAGCCAGGCAGCCCACAGGCACCACCGCCTTGACCCCAGGTCTGGTCAGCTGAGCCCGCACAGCCCAGTCACAGCCCCTGGGCCTGTGCCCTGGGCAGGGGGAGTTTCTGTCTGAGGAGCTGGGCACCCAGCTACCAGCCACTGCAGCTGGCTGCTCCGGCCAGCCCTGCAGGGACACGTGGCTCCCTCCCCGAGCCGTGGCCCAGGGGGACCCCCACGAGTGCCTGGTTTCAGGTCCGATCTGACCGGGACAAGTTTGTCATCTACCTGGATGTGAAGCACTTCTCTCCCGAGGACCTCACGGTGAAGGTGCTGGAGGACTCCGTGGAGATCCACGGCAAACACAGCGAGAGGCAGGTGAGCGGCACAGAGCCCCATGGGCACGCTCAGCCTGCGGCAGCCGCCTCTCCCGGAGGGAAGTGCTGGGGTCTGGGACCAGGCCCTGAGGGGAAGTGGGCTCCGTTAGATGGGGCCAGAGACCCTGAGCCTGGGCTGTCTGTAGGGTCACAGGTAAAGGGGGCCTGACCAGGTGGGGGCCAGGGACAGGAACAGCCATGAGACTTTGGAGTCTGAGGAACCAGTTCTGTGGCAGTGAGCGGCCCCACCGTGGGCAGGAAGGAAGGGGCTGGGCAGGTAGATCTTAGCAGGAGCTCCTGCCCCATGAGGGTGTCGCAGGCTTGACTCTCGTGCAGTCGAGGAGGGCCAGCTCCGTGTGGGGTTGGCGGCCACGTGCTGCCATCAGCTTCTCTGACCACGCCCTCCCCTGACCGTCCCCAGGACGACCACGGCTACATTTCCCGTGAATTCCATCGCCGCTACCGCCTGCCCTCCAACGTGGACCAGTCGGCTCTCTCCTGCTCCCTGTCTGCGGATGGCATGCTGACCTTTGCTGGCCCTAAGGTCCCGTCCGGCGTGGACACCAGCCACAGCGAGCGAGCCATCCCAGTGTCCCGGGAGGAGAAGCCTAGCTCGGCACCCTCGTCCTAAGCTCGGCCTCGGCATCGGCTGCCACTAGCTCTCCCCCATCCCCACTGTGACCCCTCAGTCCTGGGGGACCCTAGGATGTGGGGCATCTGTATCCTTTCCTTTCCTTGTTTTCACTTCCTTTCCTCTTCTCCCAGGGAATGAGGGTTTGAGAGGGCAGCCAGAGAGCGTGGGGCTGGGCCTCAGGTGCTGTGGCCTCTGGGTGACCCAGATCCCAGCACCAGCCAGCTGGTGGGAGTGATCGCTGCCCCAGCTTCTGGAGACAGCTTCCCCGGGGATGCAGGCAGTCTTGTGACTGAGGCCAGAAGAACGTCTCCTGCCAAGCTATCTGATGACCTCTGTGTCTCCGGGGCCAGCCAGGGACACCTTGACCCTTGGTGGCCGGCGCCTCCATCCGGGCAGAGCTGCGTGGCCCTTTCCCGGGTGCCCTGAGGTCCGTCTGGGGGCCTCTGCTCCAGGACTCTCAGTGGCCTGCTTCTCCCAGACCACCCTCCCTCCGGCACCCCCTGTGTAGTGTGGCTCCTGGGCACCTGGGAGCCTGTGAGAGTGCAGCCTGCGGCCGTCAATAAAGAAGGCAACACAAGCAGTCTGCCGAGTGGTGGCCATTCTGTGTGGGGGAGGTGTGAGGGCGATGCTCCCGGTTGATGTCCTGGTGGGGGCCTGCGGCACAGTGGTGCCATGGGGTGGGAGAAGATGGGCTGACCTACTCCCATGCCAGCCCTGCCGCCTCTAAGGTGACTGGCTACTTCTCATTCCCAGACCCAAGTGACTCCTGAGCCCCTGGCTTGGCACGAAGGAGAGGGCTTTCACGGAGGACTCGAGGGTGGAGGTTGGAGGACAGCAGAGAATCGGGGCTCCCTTCTCTAGCCCTGCATGGAAATGGGGTACGAGCAGGGCTTCCCCATCCTGCCGTGTGCCTCCCTCTGGGGGGTGCCCCTGGCTCCCTTGGGTTGCAGGGCAAGGGCCCGGGCCCCGCTGCTCCCTTAGGAACAAGGAAGGGTGGCTGAGCGTGATCAGATCGTGCCCACCACCAGTAGGCCCCGGGCCCTGTGCTCCATGAGCGGGAAGAGCCCCTGCTCACCCTGCCCGCCCGCCCCAGAGGGGATGGCCTCCCTTGGCAGGGAGGGGACTAGGCCTGGAGGCCTGGGGGAGGGCCAGGTGCCTCAGTCCCCACAGCTGCACGTGACCCTGGGACGCAGCCTCCGGGAGCGGAGGGGGCTCTGTGGGGGACCAGGCTCATGCCCACCCTCTCCCAGGCAGCAGGTGGGCCTGGGGCCTTGATGGGGCCCAGTGGAGTGTTCCCAGGGCTGTGCCTGTGCCCCTCCTCCCGGGGGAAACTGGGCACCGAGCAGGGAGAATGCATGGGAGGATGTCCAAAACAACCCCAGTTCCACACGTGGGAAACATGGCACTGCTCACACCGTGGGAGGGGAGCACGCACGCACATGCCCCTATCTCCTCTTGTGTCTCTGGGCAGCCCTGTCTGCAGAAGGGCCCGCGCCCCTGCAGGGGGTTCCCAGACTCTTCCCACCACACCCCTTCCAACAGGAAGCCCCCGGGCTGTCCTGCCACGTGAGCCACATCCATGAGGATGTGAGGGTCTCTGTGGTGGGCAGAGGAGTGGCCACTGCACAGGGGCCGGGCTGGGCACTTCTGAAGATCAGCATGAGGCTTCCTGCTCCTCCTGGCTCTGCCCCAGCCCGCTGTCCTTGGAGGGTGCCTGCACTCTGCATGGCATGGCCTGGTGTCATTGCCCCGAGGCTGGGTGGGGGGCGTCTGGTGGCTGAGTCAGAGCTCAGCTATCAGATATGATGGTCTTGCTTAGGCCTTATGATAGGCTGAGCTGTGTCCCCAAAAGTCATTTGTTGAAGTCCTGCCCCGACACCTCAGAATGTGACTCTGTTTGGAGATGGGGTCTTTAACAGACAGATTAAATTAAAAACAGGGTCACTGGGGGGCTAATCCAATCTGACTGGGGTCCTCATAAAGGGAGATGGGGACACAGATGTGCACAGAGGGACAACCGCGGGGGACACGGGGAGCAGACAGCCATCTGCTTGCCCAGGACAGAGTGGGGGTGGGTGGGCTGGCCCTGCCCCTGCCCCTGCCCGGGTCCCCAGGGTCAGCTCCAGCATGTGCGAGAATGAATGTGTGGCTTGAGCCTAGCCTGTGGTGCCCCTCCCAGCGGCCCCCGCACTCTCGCCCGGGCCTGGAGGCACTGCCGTGGCTGGGCCGCCTGTGGGGCTTGAGGCTGTGCAGTGGCCACGGAATCTAGGGTCATGCTCCTTGGGGATCGCACGCAGGGGCTGGGTGGCAGGGGCTGAGGATGCCCGCCTGCCCCCGTGTGGCCGCCTGCCTCTGCTCCCTGCTGGCTCTTGGCTGGCACAGCTGGGGAAGGGCTGCTCTTCAGCTTCCACGCTGCCTGGGGGTAATCTTCATGCCTTCCGAGCTGGCCCTGGGGCCTCTGGGTGGACCAGACACACCTGAATCCACTGGGGTGAGGAGAGTGGCCCCGCGGGCCTGTCTGAGGCTGGCACGTCAGCGGGCACCCTGCATCTCCTCGCCAAGGGGCTGTTCTGGAGCAGCCCCCCTGCATGGGCCACTGTCGGCGGTGTCACACGGACAGCGTGCAGGCCCCCAGGTGACGGCATCTTCTGCAGAGGTGAGAGCCAGTCTGCCTGAAGCCTGTGGGCAGGAGGCTAGGATGATGCCATGGGAGCGCAGGGGCACGGCTCCACCAGCCACGCCCTGGCTGGGGCTCTGAGGGCGGCAGAGGCTCCCTGACTGGGACTGCCTGCTGACTATCAGCCCCACAGGCTGCTGCTGCAGAACTTCTGAACCCGGGGGACCATCTGCGCCCCTGCTTCTTCTCTCGAGTTCACCCTCCTGCACCTGGTGTGGCCTGGGGTTCACCACCTGCAAGCCCAGGGACTCACCTAGAGTGCTTTGCAAATACAGGCTCCTGGGCCCTGCCCTGCCCGGAATTGGAGTGGGCAGGGTGGAGTCCACGAGTCTGGTCTCCGTAACTCTCGGGACCCTGGGATAACCGTGGCCACCTCTGTGGGTGAGCGAGCAAGGGAGGAGGTCTCACTGGGAGCCGCCTCTCCCGTCTCGGGGTCTCAGTTCTAGGTCTCCGTGTGGGCATCAGTTCATCCTGCCCAGCACGAGTCTTGAGCAGAGTTCGTGATTCTGGGGCAGGAACGATCACATCCCTCCCCTGGGGCCTTGTGTCCACCTCAAGCAGCATTAGCATCATTATTGACAGCAGCATGGAAACCATTAACTGAGCACTTATTGTGTGCCCCGCACTGTGCCAAACACACCGGCCACTGGTGACTCACATGCAGCCAGCCCTGCAGCCTGTAATGGACTCCACCGGAAGTGGGGGAGACCCAGGATTCCAGGGGGTCACCTGCCTGTGTCCCCACTCTGGGGAGGGCCTGAACCTCGGCTCAACGGGCCCACCCCTACCTGTAACTCAGAGGCCCTGAGGAAGCCGGGCTGGCCCAGTTCTGCTGGCGAGTTGCTGTGTGGCTGTGAAGATTTGCAGCCCCTCTGATTATTAGACTTTTAGACTCCCGTCCTCACCAGTTCACCAGCTCGGAGGGGTGGGCGGCACACTCCCCAGGGGCGTCCAGCCCCAGATGGACACCTGCGATTCCAAGTCTCACCACCAGGTGGCAGAAGAGGCCTTTGCTTTGGCGGCCAAGACGCCAGGGCGAGAGGCACGGAGTTTTTCTCAAAGGTCACCTTCATTGAGTCCGGACCTTGGGAGGCAGCCAGCACACTTTAGCGGAGGCCAGGCTCCTCCAGGCTGGACTGGGCGATGCAGGGTTCTGGGACACCCCACCCGACCCTAGGGAGTCAGTATCTGGCATGGGAATCAGGAACGGGAGCCAGGAACAGGGAGCCAGTGGTATTTCTTTATAGTAAGCAGTTTCGTCTCATTCACTTGTTTGTAAAATATTTTAAAAAGGAGAAATCACTGCCTGGAAGATTGCACTGTGCTGGGGGTCCCCTGGAGTCCTGGCAGGGTCTCCTTTGTGCAGAATAACCCGGTACATCAGCCCTCCCCCAGCCCCTGGCCCCCCGGCTCCCTCAGCCTCCCTTCCTGCCTCGTCCCAGGATGGGAAGTGGCCCTGGCAGGCAGCCTCAAAGGCTGACACAAGTGGCTGGGTCATGGGTCAAAAGTCCTACCAGCCAGATGCTGCATGTGGTGCCTGGGCGCGGGCTGAGACCTAGAGGCTTACGCACACATGTGAGACCGCAGTCTGACAGGGACGGGCCACAGGGGGGCCGGGCAGCTGGGGGACAAGGCCAGGCTCTGCGTCCCCAGGGCAGGCTCCTGCCACCCAGCACCGCCTCTGCCTTAAGGCTGAGAAGCTTCACTCAGGCTGGGGGCCCAGTAAGAGGGGCCTGGCCAAAGGCTGCAGCCCTATTGGGTGGCCAGGCTGCAGGCTCTGTTGTGCAATTCTTTCCCAGACCCTTGGATTGAGTTTGTGGGGCAGGGAGGTGGGCAGGCCCCACACTGTGTGGGCAGGCTGTTGTCATGACAACAGCACTGAATAAAAGATAAACGCACACACACGTAGGCATACACACAGAATAGTGTGACTCACATGCACACTCAAACATGCACATGCACAACACATGATACATACATGCATGTGTATACACACATACAGCAACACACAGATGCCCATACATGAGACACATGCAAGCACAATACACACACATGCACACACACACACACACACACACACACACAGCCTGTGGAGGCCGTGGGATGGTCTGGGCCCTATTTCCTGCCTCTCATTGCACTGACTTCCTTCTGTGTCTGATTTGTACTTGAGAGACACAGTCACACAAAGACATTTCCCACTGTTTCTCCTTCTTGAGGGAAAAGCCCCTGTGTGGTGGCCAGCAGACCTTTTGGTATTAGGGTGTTTTTGGAGAGCTGATATTCTTTGTGTTGCTCGAAGTACCTGATTACCTCCTGATGCTCGGGATTGGCAAGAACGAGGGTGGGATGGTGGGCTCAAGGGCACCCCAAGGTCACTGGGAGGAGGGGATGGTGAGGAGCTGGGGTGGAGCTGTCAGTCACCAGGAGTGAGAAATCAATAAAACAGATGATCTGGCTCAAAAGCACAGCTTTCTGAAGCCAGCACGGGCCTGTTCAGACAGAGCCTTTGGCATTTAGGGGTAGTTTGCAGATTACTAACTATTGGGGGCACAGGGTACTGTCAAGGGGACCAATCCTACCTGGAGGACTGAGGTAGGAGATGGGGCACCCCAAATTCCTCCCACACATCTGCACAAACCTGGAGGCCCCATGCAGACTGGCAGACTGGAAGGGGCACAGCTTGAGGCCCGCTTCTTTCTGACGCTAAAGCCCATGCTTGGGGCCGTGACTGTGTGGGTCTGTGCGGATGCCCTGTGTGTCCGTCTCTTCTTCTGTTAGGATACCAGCCCTGGGGCTAGTGTCCACCTGGATATCCAGGACGGTCTCTCCTTGACCCTTACCTTGGTCACTTCTGCACACCCTTTGTCTGAATAAGGCTACATGTGCTGGTTCTGGGGTTTAAAACTTAGACGTGTCTCGGGGGCCACTATTCCACCATGACCAGCCCTGACACCCCTGAGTTACACCCTGGCCACACGGCGCTCACCTTCCTGCACACTTGGATATACACCACCATGCTTGTTCCTTGAAGAGCCCTGAGGTCAGCAGGACAGGCACCGGCCATCTCTAAAGGTGAAGAGACTACGGTCCAGAAACCTAATGGCACAGGTCAAGAGGCCTGGGTGGGAGCTGGACTTGGCCACCGGCTGGAGACGCCTGGGCTGACATCACTGCACAGGAAGTGAAGGGCAAGGTCCTGCAGTCCCCTGTGAGAAGATTCTGACTTCTTGGTTTTGTGATAAGTGACAGTGAGTGGCTCGTGCTGCATTTGATGAAAGCCCTCTAGACCGGGCCCCTCGTGCTGTCACGGCAGCAGAGCCTCTGTTTCAAGAGCTGGATTTGGAAGGTGGAGGTGCAGTTTGGACTTCTGGACACCTCCTCCCTGCCCTGCCCTGCCCCCGGAGCCAAGCCTGTGTGCCAACTCTCCAGGGCCTGTGTTTCTGTTTGGGAGTTTCTGTGGCAGCCCACGGCCGCCCACCATGGATGACCCAATATCTGGTGTCCATCAGTGACTCACCTTTTAACTCGGGGTGGCTGCTGACTCAGCTCAGCCCTGCTGCTGGAACCTGGGGAGGCTGTGGGTGCCCCTCGGTCACGGCTTCAGGGCCTGCCAGCAAGAGGGTCCTGAACCTAGAGCCTTGCTCAGGGCGCCCTGTGCCCTGTGGAGAGCTGATATTCTTTGTGTTGCTCGAAGCACCTGATTACCTCCTGATGCCCAGGATTGGCAAGAACGAGGGTGGGATGGTGGGCTCAAGGGCACTGACTCTGCCCGGGGCCAGTGGCTTCCTGGTATCAGGGTGGGCCCTAGGCAACAGGGGAGGGGCAGGGGGCCAAGGGGCAGGGGCAGGCCGAGGGGGCTCTGGGTCCCCACTAGCTCAGGTGCAGGGCACGCCTAACCAGCTTTCCGAGATGCCTCCACCCCTGGGCTCTGCCAGCCCCGAGAGGAGAACCAGGCGTCACCTGAGTCAGGACGTGGGTCCTGGGGGGCTCGTCCCTGCTTCTGGTGACAATGATGAGGGAAGCAGGGTGGCGTGGGGCTCCTGTGTGTCCAAGTGGATGCGTGGGGTCTGAGGCTAAGTGGAGACAGGGATGGATTTATGTAAATCAGGCACCCATGTGCCCCTGGACGCGGCTCCCTCCACCTGTCGAGAGGTCTTGGGTTTGCAGGGGTGGGCGTGTTGTAGGGGTGGGTCAGGTGGTGGTGGGGTGGGCAGCCCAGGAAAGGGGCTGGGACCTGTGTGGAGAGCAGAGAACATTCCCTCCAGGCCCCAGGCCCAGGCCCACCTTCACCGTGGAGCACAGGAGGGGCTGTCCCTGCCTTTGGCCTGGGCCACTGCTGTCCCGCTTGTGGAGTCTGCACCCCGGATGTGACTGTAGGGATCCTGTCGATGTGGCTGGGCTGTGACTCATGGAGGCCCTGGGAAAGCTCTGGGGTGACTCTGTCAGTTGAGGGAAAGAGGATGAGAAGTGGGGTGCCCACAGCCCCCCTTTGCGAGGAGTCGTGGCCTCTATCTGGTTCGCCCCTGGCCCAGCATACATCTCTCCCTCTTCTCTAAGGCCACCTGACAACACCTACCTCAGCGCTGTGGCTGCACCCTGGACCACACAGAAGCTCCCAGATGGCTGTGCCTGGACCCACCCCGGAGCCCGGGGTGTAATGGTCGGCAGTGGAGCGGGTGTAGGGGGCTGTGAGGACTCCTCTGGTTCATGATCTGGGGGTGGAGCGGAAGTGGGGGAATGAGAACACCCCAGGGGAGTGTCTGGGCACGGTGAGTGCAGGGAGGTGGGGGCACTGAGTCACAGCCCCTCCAGGGACCTTTCTTTGAGCCTGTGGGGAACGGGGCCTGGCTGGCAGCTGTCACCTCCTCTGTGGCCTGTCTCCCAGGGGACCATGGGCAGTTAACAGCTGGTCGTCTGCACCGGGGGCCGTGGGGGCTGGGGGAGGGACTGGGGCCCCGCAGCGTGGATGTGCAGGGAGCAGGAGGGAAGCAGAGCGTGAGCTCTGGGCTTCTTGCCTCAGTCTCTGAATCTGTCGCATGGGACACTGACCCCGACCTTCACCCTGGCCCTCCCAGCACCCTGTCTCACCCAGCAGCTGGGTGACCCCCCCAGCTAAGCATCTCTTGCACTTGTAGGAAACGCACCATTGACCCTCAGCACATGTGTCAGCAGGAGGCACCTCCGGCTCCAGCTCTGCAAACTGCCCCCAGAGCCGCACGGTGGAGAGCCAACAGGCGCTCGGAGGTCGGAACGGATGCAGGGCCTGCATGGGTTCCTGCATCATAGGAGCACCGGGAAGATCTGTCTGGGAAGTTGTGAGTCCTGCTAAGCATGAATGGGTCCAGCGCCTTTCGAGTCCCCACTCACTCTGAGGAGAAGGAAGCCTGTCCTGGGGCCCTTGAGGCCCCTACTTCCTCCCCACTTCCTCCCCATTTTCAGCTTGGGATGGTTCACATGCTACCCCAGGGCCTTTGCACACAAAGCTCCCCCTGGAGTGCTCCAGTGTGCGGCACACTCCCTCCTGCCTGGCCCCCAGCCCCCTTGCTTGGGGGCCTGCCTTGAGCACCCTCTTGGAGGCAGCGCCCCCCACCCCCCCAGCAGCCTGCTGGTCCAGCCGTGCTCAGACAGAGCTCATGTTGAGGCGTCGCAGCCTCTCCGGCCCTGCCCAGGAGTCTAAGCCCCAGACCTCAGACAAGGCCTGGTCCTGAGTAGGTGCTCCCTAGGTATGGGGGTGAACGAGCGAATGAATGTGGTCTTGACAGACACGGTGTGATGACAAGTGTGCAAAGCTGAGCAGGCCTTGGTCGTCACCTGTGAAAGAAGCTCCCCCGGTCCCCCACCCCTCCTCCACCTAAACTTCCCCAGAGACTCAGTGGACATTAGATACTTGGGGAGCTTTTAAAACTATGAATCCCAGGTCACTGCCCGTCCCTGTCTGGATGTAGTCTGGCTGGGCCTCCATAGGTATGTTGTAAAAACTCCCAGGTGACTCTGATGTGTGGGCAGGACCATGGGTTGGCTTTATTTCAAATTCTCTACCAAACGGAGGGGAATTTAGGTACACTGGCAGGTTCTGCTAGGTCTCATCAGCCATTCACCCTTGAGTATGAATTAGCGGAGGGGTCTGCTTTTTTTTTGCCTCATGCTTTGCTGGGTTAGACAGGTCTGAGGGAGTGGGACATTTTCTGGGTGGGGGAGAAGAAAGAGAAAGGTGGTTTTGGGATTCAAAGTCCTTGGGCAGGCACGAGGATTTAAGGACTTGGAGGTGAGAGGGAGAGGAAGCGACCTCCAGGAGGTGAAAGAGAGGGTGTCCTGCTCTCGGGTGTTTCCTGGGGCCAGGCTAGGACACTGCCTCCTACTGAGGGTGCAGCTGGACTTTCCCGCCCAGCCAAGGAGACGGAGGTGCTCTGAGCTGAGGCTCATGACCACTTGATGACCGTCAGTTGACGGCAGGGTCTTGCCGGCTCCTCCCCGTGGTCCCCGCTGGCTCATTCTGACCCACGGGGTCCAGTGGTCCCCACCTTGCTCTCTGTCTGTAAGGACCCGCACTCACCTGAGGTTTGGCCTCCCCAGTGACCTGCAGCTGTGGTGCCCAGAGCAGGTCCCTGCGCCTGCAGTGCAGTTTCTGAGTCTCGGGCAGGACCCTTGAAATTCCTGGGTAGGGCTGGATTGCAAGAAGTCCTCCTGAAACTCTGTGCCCACCGGTTTCAGAGTTGCCTGAGAACGGGCGTCACACCCTTGTTTCACAGAAGAGGAAAGTGATGCTGGAGCCGGCTGGGCCCCACAGGCCAAGGTCCCCCAGGGCACACACCCAGGCCCTCCTCAGTCCACACCTGCTTCCAGGTAAAGCCTTCTGCAGGTTGCTGTCCTCCCCAAGTGGCCCCCAGGGAACAAGGGAGCCATCTCAGAGCTGGGGTCTGGGAGTCACATCCTTTAGAGGCATGTGACCTTGAGCAGGTGCAGGGTCACTGTCAGCAGGAAGGCCAAGGCTGAGTGTGAACAGGACTGAACAGGCACTTGATCTGTGCTTCAGAAGAGGGGAGGGTGGCCACACAGAAACTGAGTTTGAAAGTGACAAATCAAAAGCGGTGAGTTTAATGAATTCCACTATTGAAAATTCAAAAGAAGTTTCTTTAATCAATGTGCTCTTTACCTTGGTATTAGCGCCCTGTTGGGGTTGGCCAGCTGGGTGGGGGCCGGGTCCTGAGCCCTGTGCACAGGGGAGAGTGGCGTGCCCGGGGCCAGTGGCTTCCTGGTATCAGAAACTCTGCCTATTCCAGCCACTGAGTTGAGTTACGGCCTGGCTGGGGGTGAGTGATCCGCTGTGGGCAGAGGTGGGGCCCACAGCTTATTCCACATGTTGAGCAGGGAACCTGGCTTTGGGGTCCCAGATCTCTAAGGTTCTACCGCTGCTTTCTGGGCTTCAGGGTACCCAGGCCCGTGTAGATGAAGGCAGGGCTGAGGTCCAGGAGGAACTGGGATGGGGCAGGTGTGGGGTGTGGAGTCCAAGGCAGGCCACCGGCACCTGGACGCCTGAGCTGTGTGCCTTCAGAAATCATGCCTGTCCAGGGCAGGTTGGGGTGTAAGACAGGAGGAGGCGCTGAGCCTACTTCCACTATGTGGAAGCAGGTACTGGGGTAGGGGAGGGAGCGAATCATGCTTAAGGCTCACATGAGCCCAGGGCTTTCATACTAGAGCTTAAGTTCTGGAAATCTCCAAGAAGCTGGACTATTCAACCCATTTTACAGCCCAGGAAGCTAAAGCACTGCAGGAGGGAGGCAGGGCCCAGAGTGCGGGGGAATGGGCGGGGATGCAGGACATCTCACTGTTCCTAGACCAGCTTCTCCAGCCCCCCTGGTCTGCAGGGGGGTGGCAGTGGGCGTTAGCCATGCATTTTTAGGCAGGTGACATCCATGGTTCCCAAGCCCCACCCCACAATGCGGGCAGGGGCAGTCACCTGTCCTGTCACCGTGCTTGTGGCACAGTGTGCCAGGACCCAGCCTGACCAAGGTCCCCAAAGCCTGGGCAGGTCAGAGGCTAGCCCCCTCCCTACAGCACCCCCTGCAGCCCCCTGCCCAGGCGGATCACCCACATCCTGTCACAACAGACCCCTTCTGGTCTGCCTGGGTTCCCCACTATCCCATAAGATTGTGACCCCATCTGAGAAGGAAGCCCTCCCTTAAGCACATGCCATTGAATATCACCACAGTACCGAACATGATGCCCTTGCTTCCAGGATGGTGACCCTGAAGCCTGCCCAACCTGGGTCTCCTGGGTGCTGGCTCATGGTCACGCTATCTGCTTCTCTGGCCTCAGTCTCTGCATCTGGCCAAGGTCTCCTGTTGTTGGGGGACCAGCTAGCACTCGGCAGGTCAATGGTGATTGATTATAATGGGGTTCCTAGGTCCAGAAAGGGGGCTTAGGCCTGCAGGGGCAGTGCAGAGGCAGGTTACCGGGAGTTCTGGAGACCAGGCTTGGTTCTCCTTTGCTTACCTGCGCTCTCACCTACAGCAGGGATGGAGCTGATGTAACTTCCGGGGCCTTCCCTGCACTTTCTCTTGTCCTAGGACCCCCTTGTCCCTGTAAGTGTACATGCATATAATCCACCTCGGAGAGACAGTGCACTGGGCCAGAAGCCATTCTTACAAGTCCTGGAAACCCAATCCCTTGCTCATACCCTGTCACCAGCCTCCTGTCAGCCCAGCCCAGATGGGACTGTTAGTCCTGTACACACAGGTGTGCACTGGATGTTGAAAACCAAAAGGAGGAGGGCTCTCTGCAGAAAAAGTGGTCACCTGATTTGGCCACCTGAGCCCCAGGTTGCCAAGATCCTTGCTGATTGTTGCCCAGCAAAACTGCCACAGATCTGCCTTTGGGTCAACAAAGCAGGAGCTGTAGGAGACTAATGCAACATTTAGTAGGAGAGGTGGTTCTACAGCTTCACAGCTACCAACCAAGGCACCACTCACGGGGCCTGGGCTCCTGAATGTGTGTGTGCACATACATGTGTGCATGGGTGTGCATGGGTGTGTCTGTGCCCCCATGCATTTGTGCATCACCTCTGTGTACTTATACACATGATCATGCATGACTATGCATGTTGCATCACCACACGTGTCTCCACTGTGCATGTGTGCATGTGAGTGTGAAGATGTGTGTGTATGCATGCATTTGTTCTATGATGGTGACCCAGCCCTCCTTCAGAGCTCTGTGCCAAGAGGGGTTGCAGCCTGGTTTGACTACAGCCTGGTCTTCATGTGGAGCTCTGCTGGTCTGTGGGTCCCCTATGAAGCCCAGCCTGTGTCTGTGACTGTGCTGTGAGCCTGTGTGCGGAAGGCCCTGCGTGCCCAGTACACACAGGGTTTGGTCGGCTGGGGGATGTGTCAAGTCCGTCGACACAGTTTATGTTACTAGTGTGGTCTGCTCAGGACTGTCCAGGTAATTCATTAATGGATACATCTGTTCATTCATTTGCCGATGATTTATTGAGTGTTTACTGCATCCTAGGCTGGCCTGGGTTTGGAGAGGCAGGTCCTTGTCCTTGGAAAATGCCCTACTGGGGAAGGAAAGTAGAAGGGGAAGAGGAGGCAGGTAGGCATAAATGGGAAGGTAAAGCTAACGTCAAGGAAACTGGTACTTTAGCCCTACTCAGGGTGGCGATGGGCGTGGGTCTCCCAGCATCCATTCCTGCAGCAGTCAGGATAGGCTGGTTTTGTTTCATAACAAATACACCCTAAACCTCA